GATTTTGAAGATTTGGCTCATACCCGATCGGGTATGCCTTCATACCCGATAGGGTATGTCTAGAAAAGTGATTTTCCGGGAAACTGCCTAAAATACCCGATCGAGTACTCTATATACCCGGTCGGGTACACCACCCTGCTACCTCCAAACACCTATAAATACACCCCTTTTCCTTCACAATAAGATCACCAATTCCTTTATACTCTTAAGCTCAGTTTAGAATAGAATTTCTCTATATTTCTTTTAGCATGTTTAGTCTCCAAATGAGGAGCTAAACTTCCATTTCTTGGTTTTGCTCTTGAAGCTTGATTGATTATTAAAGTTGTGAGTTATTTTCTTACTTTCTCCTCTTGATTATTAATTCTTCCCTTAATCTCATTCTATATTAATGTTGGAGGGTGGCTTAGTGACGATTAGTTAACGTTCCAACATTGATTATTACTAGAAACGTTCAACGAACCGATGGTTAAACGTTGATGGTTTCATAAGTAAGTAACTTCGGTTTATTAATGCACGGTCGTGGTTAATAAACTTAAGAGGGATTAATTTTGTTGGTTAAACCGAAACCGTTGTGTTAAGGTTATCAATCTTAATTGATTTCATCAAGGAGTTAAAGAGGTTAAAAGCTACTATTATATCGGTATACGGCGTTGTTCTATATTTGATAAATAGTAAGGATTATTAATGAACGGTCGTTGTTAATAACTACCCTCGATGAATTGGATATACTCCTCGATTGAGTATTCGAGAGGGGATAAGTTATAGATATAACAATGATCGACTAAAATATATCAACAAGTGGAAAGTAGCAAGACCAAGTCCCTTTTTCTTGAATTTAATCCCATATAACTCGTTCATCTTCGTGTTTAATTTAATTAAATCACTCAACAATCAAAACCCCCCTTTATTTACTATCTTTGTAAAAAGAAAGTTATTCCTTTCCCTGTGGATACGAACTCTACTTCACCTATACTACGTATAAGTGTTAGTATCGATTTATTTTGAGTGCACGCACGACAAAGTGCACGTCACCTGCCCTCCTTCAGCCACAGGCGCATGCCACATGGACCCCATCTCCAACGGGTCTATTCCAACGACTACATTCTGATACAACGAGGCGGCTTCGGCCGACACCCTCCAAACCACATGCATTCGGGTTCCATGTGCCTTCGAACAAAAGTGATATAAAGCCCTCGGCTAATCACACATTGGCAACCCCTCACCCGAATATGCCCTCGGATCCAAACATCACTTTTAACTCCTTCATCCCGCACTTGCCTTCGGCCTAAAGGAGTGGGGGACTGGGATACACCCCTTGGGAACAACACAAAACAAAAATTCACGCCTACAAAACAAACACATATAAATGCCAATGCAGCCTCCAGGTAACATGTTATCAATACACCCTTCAGAAAAGAACAAAATTGTCAAAATTTCACAGAGACACCAAGGATGATGAAACAACCTTCGTACCAACATGAGATGCAAACTTGTGAACACTTCCACCCAGGAAGCCCTCAGCCCCTGACATGTGGGGGACTGAGGGAATGCCCTCGGCAAACAGCAGAGAGCAAAGTGACAATTAAGGCGTCCAACAAACGAGGAAGCCTTCGGGAGAATCACCACAATTACTCCTTTTCCCTCAAGTACCTTTCGGCAAAAGGAGTGGGGGACTCCTGATGGAGTATATGGCTGGGAACCCCCGACCCACAGACTCCCACTACTCCAACACAGGCCCAAGAAGCACAAGAGGCCCAAAGCACAACGGCCCAAGCTCAAAGGATCCCACGGTGCGCCTGGGGTAGCCTTCGGCAATATGGTCGAAGGCTCCAAAACTCACAGGACAGCCAGATTTGAGCATACGAAGCTACTGAAAGAAAATGGTAGAAATCAAGAGCCTTCGGCACTTTCGTGCCCTCGGCATCAGGGAAGCCTTCGGCTCCGCAGAGCCCTCGGCCGCAGGCAGAGCCTTCGGCTAACAGCTCAATCATCGAAGATTCCCTTTGGAGACAAGCAACCACCGCATTTAATGCGGCGTCACGTCCAACCACCGCATTTAATGCGGTGCACAAGCGAGTGCCGGTGCAACCCCGATTGAGGTGACCCCTCGGCCGTTAGATTGTTGACACGTGTACTCTTATCGCATTTATGGCTGCTATAAATAGCAGCCCTTATTCCTCTTGTAAAGGATACCAGAACATCTCGAGTTCATTAATACTATTAACTCTCTCTCTAGGTTATTCTCATAATAACCCCTCGGATAAGCTAACCCCCGGGTACACTGTCCATCATTTAATTTGGAAGTCACCGAAATTCATTTCGGGCTGTTATCTGATAAATTGTCGGTACAAGTAATTGGGCTGCGTTTGACTAATCGGTCAACCCCAGGCCTTCCCATGGACCAAGTAAGATATACACCACTATATAAATATTATCTCGACCCATAAGAATAATTTATGTGATCTCGGGAGCATCGGGCGGCCCTCGCTCCCGGTGTTGGCCCCACGTGCAAATTTACTATTCACGAGAAAGAATTAATAAAATTTACAACTTCGCAAATTCATTAACCAATCCATAAGGTTCAATACATTATTTACTTAAAAGTAAATATAATTGGGGACGGTGTTACAAGTTCACCCCCCTTATTTGGGATTTCGTCCCTAAAATCCACGTGTCTAATTGAAAAGAAACGGGTTTTGCTCCCTCATTGAGACCTCGGTCTCCCATGTTTCTTCTTCGACCCGGTCACTTCTCCACAAAACCTTTACCATATGAATCTTCTTGTTCCTAAGCTTCTTCACTTGTTGACATACTATCTTCACCGGCTCTACCGCATATTGCAAATCCTCACGGATCTCTACCGGCGGTTTCTCAAGAATCTCAATTGAACTGATGTATCGGGGGTTAAGCTTTCCCCTTGATACAAATCGAATGATGCCCTTCCAAGGATAAATCCTTAGAAAAACCTCATCACCGACTTCGAATTCCAACGGTCTCCGCCGTTTATCAGCATAATTCTTCTGTCGGTCCTGAGGAGCCTTCAGTCTATCATGAATGATCCTCACCTTGGCCTTGGTGATCTCAACCAGTTCTATCCCCTCGAGTTTGGCCTCGCCAACCTCGTCCCAACACAACGGTGTTCTGGATTTCCTCCCATACAATGCCTCATATAGAGGCATGCCAATACTTGCCTAATAACTGTTGTTATAGGCAAACTCCACTAGAGCCAAATGCTTGTCCCAACTTCCTTGGAACTCCAGAGCACACGCCCTAAGCATGTCTTCCAAATCTGTATTACTCGCTCGGACTGTCCATCCGTTTGTGGATGAAAAGCTGTGCTAAACTTCAGTTTAGTTCCCAACGGTGCTTGAAACTTTGGCCAAAATCGGGATGTGAATCGTGGATCCCTATCTGAGACAATGGATATCGGGACTCCATATAATCTGTCATAACTACATCCGAAACAACTAAAAGAATTGATCTTTCATCAATAAAGTGGGATATGGGAAAAGCTGGAAGCTTTGTGTGCTCGTTGCTGAAGGGGAAGAAAGAAACGGATGAAGATGGATCTGGGCTAAAGAAGGAAAAGGGCTAATGGGCTGCCAGATCACTTTATTAATATTAAGGCTTATATTAAATAAAAGCATGTAATACTTTAATCAGCCCACTATGGGTTCTGATCCCTTATTACAAGAACGTATAAATATGTATGAATCGTTACGGAAAGAGGCAGAAAAAAGCTTATAACATCTCTTCCTCTTTACAATTCTATCTCTTTCCTAAATCCAAAATTCCAACTAGCTTTAATCATTACATAATCTCGCAATCTCCTCCGTGTATAGCTTGGCCAATCTTTCAAGAGGATAAATAATGTTGATAGGCAAAAAGTGTGCACTCTTGGTGAGCCTATCAACCACTACCCATACTGCGTCATAGTTGTTCACTGTTCGTGGTAGTCCCACCACGAAGTCCATGGTCACGTGCTCCCACTTCCACTTCGGGATGGTGAGTGGCTGCAAAAGCCCTGACGGGTGCTGATGCTCTGCCTTAACTTGCTGGCAAGTAAGGCATCGACTCACGTACTCTGAAATGTCTCTCTTTATACCTGACCACCCGTAACTTTTCTTCAAATCTCGGTTCATCTTAGTACCTCCCGGATGCATAGCATAAGCTGAAGAATGAGCCTCCTCAAGTATAGACTTCTGGAGTTCCTCATTCTTTGGTATGCATACACGATCCTTAAACAATAATAGGTCGTCATCACGTACTCGGAAGTTCTCAACGGGCCCCTCAATGGTTATTCTCACTTGAACCTAAATACACACACACACATACACACACACACACATATATATACATACATATTACATACGAGTATGTAAGTTTGAGCTGCTTTTTGGTGGGTTTACCGAATTGTGCACACCCCTACTTTCTGGTCTTCTTTGTCCCATTCTCTCCCCCTTCCCTATTGTTCCGTTTGATTCTACGCCGGTATTTTATTTCTTCATCTTCACTGTGAGGAACGTTGGCAACGACAACACCAATAATGGCGAGGAGCACCATTGTTCTAGTCAAGGTTCAGGAGTAACATACCAGGTTACAAAGTAATGGCGGCAACTTTATTATTGGTTGGATCGTTCGAAAACCACCTCCACTGATTTCAGATAGCTCTTTCCCCAGCTGGTCTCTTTATCAAAGCCTCCAATAATCCAAATGCATCGGCTGGGCTTGAAGATGCCCAGATCATGAACTGTTGAGGAGCGATGGCTACTCGTCGCCGGCGGTAGAGTACTCTGCAGCTCTCGGCGTCTCCTCCAACAACAAAAAATCTCTTTTTTTATTAAAAAGTGTTACAAGTTTTTGTTTGAACCTAAATATTTTCAAAAATTATACCAATATTCATATTTTTTAATTTTAATATGACATCTATCATATATATATATATATAAAGTTTAAAAATTGCAATATACATATTAATACATAGTAATACATTGACGGTGGTTGGATTGCATAAAAAATTGAATTGACAAATACATATAAAATAGTGAGAAATTTGTGATTAGCCCAACGCGGTTTGTGGTTTGTCAAAAAAAAAAACGCCGCTTGTAGTTAGCCTCACGTAGGACGCCTTTATTTTAGTGGCAAAATGTTATCAATCATAAATCATCAATTCATCATCAATCAACAATTCCTAAAAATATCGTTAATGAGACGTTGAAGGGCGAAGAATGAGGACCCACCATCCAGCAACGCGTGCCGGCCAATCTCTCCAATCTCGTTGGCCCTTTTCCTCACCGGATTCTCTGCATCCATCACACCCCTTATTGCTCTCTCTATGTCATCTGCCATGATCACCCTCTCCGCAGCCTGCGTCCTCCGGTAGTCCACCGTCAGCTCCACCCCCACCCCCAACTCCTTCACCAGCAGGAACGCGTTCGTCTGCTGCTCCGCGTACATCGGCCACGTCACGATCGGAACGCCGTGCCTCACGCTCTCTAGTATGGAGTTCCAGCCGCAGTGTGACACAAACGCCGCCGTGGCTCTGTGCGCCAGAACTTCGATCTGCGGGGCCCACCCGCACACCACCCCCCCTCTCTCTCGTCCTCTCCGCGAACCCCTCCGGCAAAATCCCGTCCAAATCGGACAGCTCACCGGCCACCTCCGCCTTGTTTAAGGATTGCGGCCGCCGAATCGACCAGAGGAACCTGTGCCCGCTCCTCTCTAGCGCCTCCGCGATTTGATGGATCTGTGGCGCCTCGAACCCTCCCTGGCTTCCGAAGCAGAGGAACACCACCGAAGACGGCGGCTGCTGAGATAGCCAATCGAGGATTTCTTCCTTCCCGTTGTGGTGGTCCTGTGGAGATAACATTGGCCCGACGGCGTAAACCGGAGGCAGATCCGGGTCTGACGCCAGAGCTTTAATAGCATATGGCTCTAATTCCTCAAAAGTGTTTATGATCATTCCCTTTGCTTCTCTGAACTTCCTGCCACTATATGCGAATGATTTGAAGCCTTCTTCGACGAATGCGAAGGTGGGCAGAACCCGGGCCGGAACAGGGCAGGAAAACGTCGATACGACCGAGTCCGGATCGGACAGGGTACACTCCTTTTTCATAACCGGAAAGTAAAGATTCAAGCCGAGAAACGCGGCGCCGGAAGTGTAAAACAGGTAAGAAGGAACTCCGAGTTCATTAGCCACGTCAACCACCGAGCTGCAGAACAAATCAAACACTATTCCGGCAAGCGGGGTGTCGACGGGATTCGACGACAGCACGTTGTTGATGATCGAGTGCTTGACATGGGGCATAAGGCTTTTTATGTAGGTAGTGATGAAGTTTTCAGGGCACTTGAGCAGCTCTGCCGGCGGCGGCTCTATCTCCGGCAGATGTAGGAGCCGGATTCGGGAGTCGGCGGAGAGAACGGCCTGGACGACAGTATTGGCGATAGGGTCGAGTGGGTGGCGTATGATTAGCACTGTGATGGAGAGGCGGTGGTCTCTGTCAAGAAGAAGCTTAGCCAGTTCAACAATGGAGACTATATGACCTACCAAGGGGGCAGGGACGATTACCAGCTCGGCTTTCTGGGTCATGATGGATATTGCTACTCCTGTTCTTATTCCTTTTATGGGTTGGGTGTGCGGGCATATATTCATACCGAGAACGTATATATTTAGCTGTGGAGTTGGTGATGATCAGATGAGTGGGTGGTCATTGAATCCGCATACACGTATGGTGTACGTAATCGCTGACCACTTAAGGCCCTAATCGATAATTATAGCCATGTTTGGCAATGTGCTTCTTAACTGTTAGCCAGTTATGTCAACTGTTTGATCACAGCTGGTTATGTTAGCTATTTTGATTGGTTTATTATGTTAGTTTGTTGTTAATAAATGTTTGGTAAAATTAACTGTTATAAAACAGTTGCTTGAGTGTAAAAAGACGTATAAGGACACGAGTGTATATATAATATTTGAGTAATGCTAATAGTGATAATGTTAAAACTATAATTAATTTGCAAAATAAATTATTTAAGAAAAACAATATTTTATTTGAAATGTAAAAAGAATAAATTAAATTTTAAAATAAAAGTATAATAAATCTAAACAAATAAATCTTTTAGAAAGAATGGGGGAAAAATCAGAAGAAGAAGAAGAAATGCAAATTAATCGAAAATACAAAGAATGGGGAAAAATCAGAAGAAGAAAAACCACGAAAGAAGTTAAATAGGGCTGAGATAAAGAACGGAGATGGCACTATGGCACACCAGGGTATAGATGGAAAAAATAAATAGAATAAGCTGAGATTAAACCTAAACTCTGGGTGGTCTGGCTTTTCACATTTCTGCTTCTTCATATGGATTAACCAAGTCAAACATCTATTTTGAGTCAAACAAGCTAAAAAATGGCTGATAAGCCGTTTGACAAACAACCCCTATGTTTGTTAATAGAAAACATTCATTACAATGATTGTTATACTTTATTAATACTTCGTGTTAGATACAATTCGGATTTTTCAGATCAAATTGCAAAATTTATCGGAACAAATCAATATATATATATAAAAAAGGAATTTTTTAAGAGCATACGGCGCGCCACATAATCCACCTTATTTGGTAACTTTTTCAGAATCTACTACTTACTCCGTATTAATATGGATCAGTGTTCTAAAACTCGGGCTAGGCGCAGCCTAGGCGCTAGTCGTTAATGTGGCGAGGGGATTTCCATGAAATCGGACTCAAAGTCGGCCGTCCGACTTCTCGGGCGCCTAGTGCGCCTAATAGGGCGATTTTACAGAGTCGGAGCTTTAGTCGGTTCACCCAATTTATTTTTCAGAAATTCTCTTCCGCCACTGAGACTTCTTTCTATCCGTCTCTCCCACCTTCTCATCTTCTCACAAGTCTCTACCCTAGTCTCTAGCCTCAATTAACGATCTCCGAGCAACCTGTCTGAAGTTTGAAGCTCTCCACCACCAGGTACCAGCCGCACCAGTCGCACCAGCGAACACTTTTTCCAGGTAATCTCATCACTCTTTGTTCGATTTTCACTACTTTCAGCTTTTTATAAAATTCTAAATATGATTTGTTGTTTACAACCCCAAAAATTCAAAGTATATGTACAAACATGGATGTCTATACATATGAATGTGTGTGAAATTGTGAATGATTAATAGAAAGGTAGAAGTAAATGTAATGAACTCAATGTTGGAACTGTGTATGTTAAGTGTTTGATAAATGTCCTCAAAGAAATGTAAACCATTTTTTTTAACTTCTACAGGTTGGGTCCATTGCTATTTGGATAGATGAACTGTTCTGCAATACTCATAGTTTGGCCAGCTAATAAAGTTAATTATTTCAGAATGGATCTGTTTTTTATGGCTTATAAGCTTATTAGGTACAGTATAATTTTAGTTAAACCGTTAGAGTTGATTAAATTAACCTACTAAAAATCTGAAACCTTTTATAAGTTTGTGTAAACTATAAACAGATAAACTTAAACTGTCAACTTTGAACATTCTTTTATAATTTAATGTCAACTTTGAACATTCAAGCTTTCCAGTAGTACGTTCTAATGCAAATTAAAATTAACTGTATTAAGGTTTAGACTTTACAGTTTTAGACTTTAGAGTATAATGTTGTATGTAGTAGTATTTGGCTATTAGCTGGAAAACTGAAGCAAAATGGAAGCCAACAAGTAACTAAGTACTCCATGACAGCAAACAATAGTTCAAAAACCAAATGAAAAGAGAACAAAAAGTTCATAATCTTGACATCAGACTATTATTTTCTTGCAATGGAATCACAGCAAACATTAGTTCAAAAAACAAATGAAAAAGGAACAAAAAGTGCATAATCTTGACATCAGACTATTATTTTCTTTCAATGGAATCTAACGTAACATACAATACCTTTTGTATGTAGTTATATGCAATACTTTTTGTTCTCATAGGGTATCAATGACTCAATGTATCATCACAGTTAAAATCTTATCCATATTAACAAAACCGTTCTAGTTTATAGGTTATACACGTTATAACATGTATTTTGAATCCTTGATTACTGATTACTTGGCTGAACTTTTAAACTTTTGTTTATCAATTTGTTATTTGGGATAGTGATCTATGTTGAACTTGTTAGGTTCGTTGCTTATTAAGTTGTTCAATGGAAGCTCCTATTTTTTAACCATTTATGGCATTAAATCATTAATTATGGAAGCTTATTTTTTATTTTTTTTAGTGCATACATGGATAAACACATGGGTGAATGACTGAATTGAGGCAAAAAAATACATGCTCCGAGTTGCCGACTAATCGCCGACTAGTCGCCGACTAGTCGGCCTAGGCGCTAGGCGGCCCTCTGCCGCCCGACTAGCGCCTAGCGAGTTTTAGAACATTGATATGGATATTTATTAAAATATATATAAGAGGAATTTTAAGAGCATCTGGTGTGCCACATAATCCTGCCATGTCATCATATATAACAATTATATATTTAATTACTATTTATACCTTTTTTATTACATTCTATTTTTTATTACATATTGATATGGAAACAAAAGACCGTCGCGTATGATAAAATCCACCTTATTGGATAACTTTTTCAGAATCTACTACTTACTCCGTAGTAATATGGATTGTTATTAAAATAAGCAATTATTGCAACCACAACAATAAATAGTCATCCGTGCACATAGACTTTATTAAATTTAATTATTTTTATACTTTTATTTTTATTACATTCTATTGAGAAGTGAATTATCCGTGTTTTGCGCACCTAACAAATAAATCATCCAAGTTCCTATCAATTTTGTTCTTTAAAGTTATTTTACAAATAAAGTAATAATAGTGTTCCATTTCCTAAAAAGTACGGAGTAATATTTTATTTTTCTAAACTCAATTTTTTGAATGTTTTCTAAACTCAATGTGATAATGACTAAAGTTATCAGACTTATATTTGCAATTGTGTTAATACTTCGTATTTTTCTGCATCATCATACCATTCTTTCTTAATTGTTGAGATAATGATGAAAATTATAACCACAAGAGTTTTTAACTTAAAAATGAAATTGATATATACTATTAGATATTCATATATGAAAACATTTAAAACTTCTGATCAAGTATCTTACCTTTATGAGGATGGAAATGGAAATTCATATCATACATATATGAATACGTTTAGCCCAGCAAAAAAAGTAAACATGTTTAGTTGTTTCTTTATTTTTACAACTACAATTTAGATTTTCCTTCACTTTTGACATAGATTCCTAATCTAAATTAGGAAATCTTCATACATTTAGGGTGTTTTTAATTGGACTGGTTTCAGTCTTAGTGATAGGTACAAGGAAAAATCTGGCAATGAATTGTTGATTTACTAAACTGAAATTGAAGAAACAGAAAGTGACGATACAGATGAGGGCAAATTCGAGAGTGCCTCGTCTCTCCCAAGTTCCAGTCCAATCCAAGTTCTGCCTAACCTCCCCCCTCTCTCCTTCCCACTCTTATAGTACTTATATTCTAACGGGCCAGCCCATATTTTATAACCTGGCCCAAAATTCTTATTTATACAATAACATACTTATTTAATATCAATCTATTACTACTTTATAATTCTCTACAGCCCAGGGCCCTATCATATCTCCCCCCTTGAACAACCACCTTGTCCTCAAGGTGGGTGATAGGAGACAGCCTTGATCTTCCACTTTATCTTCATCCTAACGCCTCTACCTTCTCAATATCTCACTGTGTAACACCGTCCCCAAATGTATTTACTTTTACGTAAATGATGTAATAAACCTTATGGAATGATTTATGAATTTACGAAGTTGTAAATTTTTATTTTTATTCTTTCGCGTGAATAGTAAATTGCACGTGGGACCCACATCGGGAGCGGGGGCCGCCCGACATTCCCGAGACCTTATATTTTATTCATCTTGGTTTAGATAATAAATATATAGTGGTGGATATTTCATCTGGGCCATGGAAAGGCCCAGAGTTGACCGATTGATCAAAAGAAGCCCAAATTACCAGTACTGGTAATTTAACTGGTAACAGCCCGAACTGAATTTCGGAGGCTTATAAATTAAAGTTGGGGAATGTATATTCATTATACATGCCATAATGAGTAAGAGCACGTAATATATTTTATTTTACCCGATAAAATAAAATATGATTAAAACAGTCCGAAAATACAACTTTCGGGACCGATTGTACACACCGGGACACAAAGGGATGACCTCCCACATGAGTGGGGGCCACCCCACGTTTTTGTGTGCTCAAATTGACCAAAGGAAGGCCAATGGTACACATGATGGGAGGGTGAGACATTGAGAGACACCAAAGGGGTCCCTCTCTCACTTATTAGCTAAATGAGACAAAAGGAACCCATCCCCCTCCTTCCTCCTCATTGTACTCGACCAAGCTACCCAAGAAAGAGGAAGAAACATCTCTCCAACCCTCCTCCATTGCTGCAACTCGAGCTCAACCAAGAAGGATCCAAGAAGTGGGATTAAAGAAGGAAAAAGGCTAGGAAAAGTGTGTAAAATTAAGGTAATGACCTTATTATAACTTTTCCTTTATTTTTCTTCTATCATATGAAGTATATATCATATGAAGGACCCTTAGTATGATTCCACATGTTATAAGTATGGATTTATGGGTTGGAAAGTGATTCTATGTCCAAGAACGGACTTAGAAGCCAAAACGACCGGTTCACCGGAAAATAACCTTTTTGAGGTTATTTGTATTAATATGGGTTTTATGATTATAAAACCTTGTTAGGCACTTGTAAAGGGTATTTCAAGTGATTTCACAAAGTTGGAAAAGTCGCCGGAGTTGTCACCGGAGTTGACCAAAAGTCGCCGGAGTTTCACCGGAGTTCAACCAAGAAGGGTAGAACTTCTTAACGCTAGTTCAAGGTGAGTGGACGGCTTAATATCTTATAACTTTTGGGTTAATTATGAGATTACCTAAATAAATGTTATATGTTTTCATAATGATGTTTAAAAGATATTTAAACATGTGTTTAGCCAACATTATCAAGTTGTATGAAAAGAATTAATTGATTATGCATGAAATATGATATGAGAGATTATATAAAATGCACATTAGCTTGAAGTGTAAAAGAAGCTCAAATGAGTATTATTGACTTAATTATATGATGATTAAGTTGATATGAATAAGGCTTGAATTGGCGGTCAACGACAACGTTGACCGATGGATGATGGATTAACTAATATCGGTTGATGTTAGTTAATTATACATTTATTTAAATGCATGGCTTTGCATGGATTGTGATACATAAGAATTATGTATTGGATTAGTTATGAGTAACTAAGGATGATATAGACTCTATCTAGGTTGATAGGAGGTTGATCATAGGAAAACTTGGTGGAGGACCCTAGTACTTAAAAAGTACTTAACACTCAAACTTGGTGGAGGACCCTAGTACTTAAAAAGTACTTAACACTCAAACTTGGTGGAGGACCCTAGTACTTAAAAAGTACTTAACACTCAAACTTGGTGGAGGACCCTAGGACTTAAAGTCCTTAACACTCAAACTCGGTGGAGGACCCTAGTACTTAAAAGTACTTAACACTCAAAACTTGGTGGAGGACCCTAGGACTTAAAAGTCCTTAACACTCAAACTTGGTGGAGGACCCTAGTACTTAAAAGTACTTAACACTCAAACTTGGTGGAGGACCCTAGGACTTATGAGTCCTTAACACTCACAAACCGGTGGAGTATCCAAGGATTATGATCCTAAAACTCATAGATTGTGATATACAAGTAGGGACAAGGAGGAGTCCTATACACTCATAGGTATATGGGTGGGTTGGGGTTTTTAGTCAAGAATATTGACTATTACTATTTTCCCGAATAAAATGGTGATCTACGGATCGGATATTTTCCAAGTATATATATACTAATAAGTATTTCATAACTTGGGGGAAAGATTATTTATTTAAGTATCACCCTATGTTTGGGTCTTATACTTGAAACGCTAGTTATTCTATATTTAGCCTGCTACTCGCTCGGTACTTGTACTGACCCCTTCGGGGGGCCCCACCACTTTCAGGTTGAAGCTAGAGCTTGCTACTTGCACCTTCTCACGGGTGATATCACATCAGGAAGACGTGGTTCGTGCTTCCTTATTTTCTTTCAAACTACCGAACACTTGCTCATGGATATTTGTTTACTATAAACACTTTTTGGGCTTGCATGCCCATGTTGTTGGCCGGTTGTGGCTCATGACTTACCGTTGAATATTTCCGCTATTCATTGGTTTAAATGTGATGTTGTTATGTATGTTTACTACTGAGTATGGATGAATTGTTTTCTCGAACGCCTTGTGTAATTAAGTGAGGTTGACTCGTGGGTGACGTCACTTAGTTATACGGCGGTTGTACACGCGCTTGGATTGCGGTCTGGGGCGTGACAATTAAGTGGTATCAGAGCCATCTCAGTTCTAAACATTATAATCAACCTCTCACAAAAGATTTTACAAAAGAGTTTTTACCGAAAACCATGAGCATTGTATTTTGACGTTTATAGGACTATTGGTGCTTGAGTTGCAAGGCCTCTAATTGTTAAGACGGTACCCTTAACAATTGGTATGGTAGTGACTTGGGCCAATATGTGTCTGTAACGTTCTTCCGTCAGTTGACATTTATAGGAGTCTAATGACTCATCCATATTTCTTTCAGAAATGGAGGGCAGGAGAATGAGGACCAGGAACAATCCGAGGGGGCAGGCGCCGGTAGCATCCCAAAGGGGAAGCCGGGCTGCATCTCGGGGTTCGAGAGGAGGCCGTGGAGGCCGTGGAAGCCGTGGAGGTCATCAAGCTCAAACTGTGAGTGATGGCCATGTGAGCTCGGTGTATGAGACCAACACCGAAGACTACGACTCAACCTACGTGCCAGAGACAGAGCATGAAGAGACCCCGTATGATGGGGGTGACACGTACACCGATGATGATGATGAAGAGAGTGATGCCAAGTTCGCCCAAATGGGCGAGTTGCTTGAATGGTATCAAAAAGAAAAATTGAGGAGGGACCTTAGGCGCCAAGCGAGGCGTGGCTCTCGCGGTGGTTCGGGTCAAGGAAGCCGGGGAGCTTCCGTGGCCACCCCAGCGGCGTCACAAGGTGGGCGTGAAGGAGGTTTTGTCGTGAGAATCTCCAAGTACCTCAAGGAGGCTAGGGCCTTGGGGTGTAGGTCCTTTGACGGCACCGGTGACATTACCGTTGCCGCCGATTGGATTAAGAAGGTGAAGGATGCATCAAGAGACATGCAAATCACACCGGACGTGAAGTTGACTGTCGCTTCACGGCTACTTGAAGGGATAGCCTCTACGTGGTGGGAGAGCGTGGAGGGGAAGTACCATGGGGAAATAACATGGGCGGACTTTGAGCTAGAGTTCTATGCTCAATACTACTCCGAGTACGAGGTGAATGTGAAACGGAGAGAGTACACTAACCTCAAACAGAAAGATGGCGGCACAGTTAAACAACTGGAACAAGAGTTTAGAACCTTGGCTAGGTTCTTGCCGGAGTACGCGGTTGATGAGAACCGCATGACGGAGCACTTTTGGGATGCCCTACTCTTGGACATTCGTGACCGAGCTACGTACTCGCGCCACATGACCTTCAGCGAGGTGGTGGAACAGGGCCTTCTCGGGGAGGCCCAATGGAATGAGAGGAAAGAGAGAGACGCCGAAGAGGCGAAAAAGAGAAAATGGCAAAGCTCGGGGCCGCCCGAGCAAGCACGGAGGGATAAACACGGCGGAGGTGGGGGTTCGTTCAAAACACCGGCACCACCGACAAAGAAGAACAAGGATGCTCGGTGGCATGCATCCTCCTCCCAAAAGACGGGACCCCCTAGGTGTGCTAATTGTTCGAAAAATCACTTTGGGAAATGCAATGCACCCCCAAGGTGTTATCAATGTGGGAACACGGGTCACATGAAGGCCAATTGCCCACAACTAGGGGGAGGAGGAGCTCCGGGATCCGGAGGAGGAACCATGACGGGAAGAAACCGTGCGGGACCGTCAAACGGCGGTACGGGAAGAGGCAACGCATCCACAAGTCATGCCGCGTCCGTAAATCAAGGCGGGACCCAAGCACGAGTGTACGCAATGACCGAGGCGGATGCACGAGCAAACCCGGACTCCGTTGCAGGTAATACACTTATTTTCCTGTATTTCTAGGCTTATTTGGGTCATATAAGTCATTGGGTTTGGGTGCGGGCCACCCCGGGGTCAAACCCCGCGAATTCGGGGCGAAACGGGCTAAAAACAACTACGCGCGATCGCGCGTACCCACAGACGCACGACCGTGCGTGCGAGGCAGTAGCCCCTGGCCTTATTCCGCACAGACGCACGCCGTGCGTGCAGGTCAGGCACGCCGTGCCTGGGACGCACGATCGTGCGTGACCAGCTACGCACGATCGTGCGTAGCCGGCAGTGGCGGATTCCGGATTTTTCAAGCACGCACGACCGTGCGTGCCACCCAGGCACGCCGTGCGTGGACCCCCAACACCCGAAACTCGATTTTTTCGCCCCGTTCTTCTACGTTTGGACCCCCGTTTGATTCCAAACATTGGTATGAACCTAATAACCTCCTAAAGATGTGTTAAAACATTAGAAAATGTATCTTACATGTGTATAAATGTAGGAACATTAAAGATCAATGGTAGGTGTGCGAGGATCCTCATTGATACCGGGGCACAACGCTCATTTGTGAGTGAGGCGTTCGCCGAGGGCCTTGACGTGCCATTGACACCTATGACTCAAACGTTGCTAGTCTCCACACCGTTAGGAGACGACGTGGAGAGAAATCATTACTATCCGTCGTGTGAGGTAGAAGTGACGGGTCAACCTTTGACTTGTGATTTCGTACCTCTAAGCATGTTGGAGTTCGATGCAATCCTAGGAATGGATTGGCTCGAGAAACACCATGCCCGAGTAGATTGCTACACCAAAGTGTTGGAGCTCGAGGATGATCAAGGGAACACGCTATGCTTTGAGGGAGATCGGGGGAAATCTAATGCTTGTATCATATCCGTGATGAGAGCACGGAAGATGATGAGAAAGGGATGCCACGCGTACCTTGCCTACGTGGTGGACGATACCAAGAAGGAAGTCGACATCAAAGATGTACGGGTCGTGTGCAAGTACCCGGATGTCTTCCCCAAAGATCTACCGGGGCTTCCACCCGATAGAGAGATAGAGTTTGTAATTGAAGTGGAGCCGGGAACCAAACCCATTTCGATTCCTCCTTATCGAATGGCACTGGCCGAACTTCAAGAGTTAAAGGTCCAACTGCAAGAATTATTGGACAACGGATTCATCAGACCCAGCCATTCACCGTGGGGGGCACCCGTACTCTTCGTGAAGAAGAAGGATGGTACACTAAGAATGTGTATTGACTACCGACAGTTGAACAAGGTCACAATCAAGAACAGGTATCCCTTACCGAGGATTGATGACTTGTTTGATCAACTTCGGGGGGCAATAGTGTTCTCAAAGATTGATTTGAGGTCGGGGTATCATCAGCTGAAGATCAAGGAGAGCGACATACCTAAGAGTGCATTCCGCACTAGGTATGGTCATTACGAGTTCCTTGTGATGTCATTTGGTTTAACCAACGCACCGGCAGCATTCATGGACTTGATGAACCGTGTGTTTAGTGAATACTTAGATCAATTTGTGATAGTATTCATTGATGATATCTTGATATATTCCAAGAGCGAGGAGGAGCACGAACATCATTTGAGGCTTATACTTGACCGGCTAAGGGAAAAGCAGCTCTTTGCCAAGTTCTCTAAATGCGAATTTTGGCTTAAGGAGATTGGGTTCCTTGGTCACGTCATATCCGGTTCGGGCGTTGCTGTGGATAACGCCAAGATAAAGGCTATCATGGATTGGGAGAGACCCAAGAATGTGAAAGAGATACGTAGTTTCCTTGGCTTAGCAGGATACTATCGTAAATTTGTTGAAAAATTTTCTGTATTGGCGTCTCCATTAACGAAGCTCACAAAGAAAGGGGCCAAGTTCATATGGGACGACAAGTGTGAGAAAGGGTTCCTTGAACTGAAGAAACGACTTACCGAAGCACCAGTCCTTGCCCTACCCATACAAGGGATAGGGTATGATATATACAGTGATGCTAGCATCCAAGGGCTTGGATGTGTACTGATGCAAAACGGTAAAGTGATTGCCTATGCTTCAAGGCAATTGAGAAAGCACGAGGTGAACTACCCTACCCATGACCTAGAATTGGGGGCGGTAGTGTTTGCACTGAAAATCTGGAGGCATTATCTCTACGGGGAGACATGTCACATTTTTACAGACCATAAGAGCTTGAAGTACGTATTCACTCAGAAAGAGTTGAATATGAGACAGAGGAGATGGATGGAGTTGATCAAGGACTATGACTTGATCATCGATTACCATCCAGGAAAGGCCAACGTCGTGGCCGACGCACTGAGCAGAAAGAGTACGTCGGGGACGCTACTCACATGCCTACAGGCATTGAGGGCGCGCGTGGAGGTGTCCACGTGCGGGGCTCTCATTGCTCGATTCGAGGTTAGGCCCACCCTATTGGGCGAGATTAGTCGAAGTCAGGCCATTGATGAGGAATGTCAGAAAATCCGCGAACGGATCCTTGAGGGGCCCGTCGAGAATTTTCGGGTACGTGATGACGGTCTTTTACTATTTAAGGATCGTGTGTGCATACCAAAGAATGAGGAGCTCCAGAGAGCTATACTTGAGGAGGCTCATTCTTCAGCATATGCCATGCATCCAGGGGGTACTAAGATGTACCGAGATCTGAAGGAAAGTTACTGGTGGTCAGGCATGAAAAAGGATATTGCAGAGTTTGTGAGTCGATGCCTTACTTGCCAGCAAGTTAAGGCAGAGCATCAGCACCCAGCAGGGCTCTTACAACCACTCACCATCCCAGAGTGGAAGTGGGAACATGTGACCATGGACTTCGTGGTGGGGCTGCCACGAACAGTGAACAACTACGATGCAGTATGGGTAGTGGTTGATAGGCTCACCAAGAGTGCACACTTTCTGCCTATCAACATTACTTATCCCCTTGAAAGATTGGCCAAGCTATACACGGAGGAGATCGTGAGATTGCATGGAGTCCCAATATCCATTGTCTCGGATAGGGATCCACGATTCACATCCCGATTTTGGCCAAAGTTTCAAGCATCTTTGGGGACTAAACTGAAGTTTAGCACAGCTTTTCACCCACAGACGGATGGACAGTCCGAGCGGGTGATACAGATTCTGGAAGACATGCTTAGGGCATGTGCTTTGGAGTTCCAAGGAAGTTGGGACAAGCATTTGGCTCTAGTGGAGTTTGCTTATAACAACAGTTATCAAGCAAGTATCGGCATGCCTCCATATGAAGCATTGTATGGGAGGAAATGCAGAACACCGTTGTGTTGGGACGAGGTTGGCGAGGCCAAACTCGAAGGGATAGAACTGGTTGAGATCACCAAGGCCAAGGTAAGGATCATTCGGGATAGACTGAAGGCCGCTCAGGACCGACAGAAGAGTTATGCTGACAAACGGCGGAGACCGTTGGAGTTCGAAGTCGGTGATGAGGTCTTCCTAAGGATTTCTCCTTGGAAGGGCATCATCCGATTTGTATCGAGGGGGAAGCTTAACCCCCGATACATAGGTCCGTTTGAAATCCTTGAAAGGATTGGGGCCGTGGCTTATCGTCTCAAGTTGACACCGGAACTTGAGAAGATACATGACGTGTTTCATGTATCGATGCTCAAGAGGTACATACGGGACCCATCTCATATCCTTGAGAAACCGCCGGTAGAGATCCGTGGGGATTTGCAATATGCGGTAGAGCCGGTGAAGATAGTAGGTCAACAAGTGAAGAAACTTAGGAACAAGGAGATTCCTATGGTAAAGGTTCTTTGGAGGAGTGATCGAGTCGAGGAGGAAACTTGGGAGACCGAGGTCTCAATGAGGGAGCAATACCCATTCCTTTTCGATTAGACACGTGGATTTCGGGGACGAAATCCCAAATAAGGGGGGGTGAACTTGTAACACCGTCCCCAAATGTATTTACTTTTACGTAAATGATGTAATAAACCTTATGGAATGATTTATGAATTTACGAAGTTGTAAATTTTTATTTTTATTCTTTCGCGTGAATAGTAAATTGCACGTGGGACCCACATCGGGAGCGGGGGCCGCCCGACATTCTCGAGACCTTATATTTTATTCATCTTGGTTTAGATAATAAATATATAGTGGTGGATATTTCATCTGGGCCATGGAAAGGCCCAGAGTTGACCGATTGATCAAAAGAAGCCCAAATTACCAGTACTGGTAATTTAACTGGTAACAGCCCGAACTGAATTTCGGAGGCTTATAAATTAAAGTTGGGGAATGTATATTCATTATACATGCCATAATGAGTAAGAGCACGTAATATATTTTATTTTACCCGATAAAATAAAATATGATTAAAACAGTCCGAAAATACAACTTTCGGGACCGATTGTACACACCGGGACACAAAGGGATGACCTCCCACATGAGTGGGGGCCACCCCACGTTTTTGTGTGCTCAAATTGACCAAAGGAAGGCCAATGGTACACATGATGGGAGGGTGAGACATTGAGAGACACCAAAGGGGTCCCTCTCTCACTTATTAGCTAAATGAGACAAAAGGAACCCATCCCCCTCCTTCCTCCTCATTGTACTCGACCAAGCTACCCAAGAAAGAGGAAGAAACATCTCTCCAACCCTCCTCCATTGCTGCAACTCGAGCTCAACCAAGAAGGATCCAAGAAGTGGGATTAAAGAAGGAAAAAGGCTAGGAAAAGTGTGTAAAATTAAGGTAATGACCTTATTATAACTTTTCCTTTATTTTTCTTCTATCATATGAAGTATATATCATATGAAGGACCCTTAGTATGATTCCACATGTTATAAGTATGGATTTATGGGTTGGAAAGTGATTCTATGTCCAAGAACGGACTTAGAAGCCAAAACGACCGGTTCACCGGAAAATAACCTTTTTGAGGTTATTTGTATTAATATGGGTTTTATGATTATAAAACCTTGTTAGGCACTTGTAAAGGGTATTTCAAGTGATTTCACAAAGTTGGAAAAGTCGCCGGAGTTGTCACCGGAGTTGACCAAAAGTCGCCGGAGTTTCACCGGAGTTCAACCAAGAAGGGTAGAACTTCTTAACGCTAGTTCAAGGTGAGTGGACGGCTTAATATCTTATAACTTTTGGGTTAATTATGAGATTACCTAAATAAATGTTATATGTTTTCATAATGATGTTTAAAAGATATTTAAACATGTGTTTAGCCAACATTATCAAGTTGTATGAAAAGAATTAATTGATTATGCATGAAATATGATATGAGAGATTATATAAAATGCACATTAGCTTGAAGTGTAAAAGAAGCTCAAATGAGTATTATTGACTTAATTATATGATGATTAAGTTGATATGAATAAGGCTTGAATTGGCGGTCAACGACAACGTTGACCGATGGATGATGGATTAACTAATATCGGTTGATGTTAGTTAATTATACATTTATTTAAATGCATGGCTTTGCATGGATTGTGATACATAAGAATTATGTATTGGATTAGTTATGAGTAACTAAGGATGATATAGACTCTATCTAGGTTGATAGGAGGTTGATCATAGGAAAACTTGGTGGAGGACCCTAGTACTTAAAAAGTACTTAACACTCAAACTTGGTGGAGGACCCTAGTACTTAAAAAGTACTTAACACTCAAACTTGGTGGAGGACCCTAGTACTTAAAAAGTACTTAACACTCAAACTTGGTGGAGGACCCTAGGACTTAAAGTCCTTAACACTCAAACTCGGTGGAGGACCCTAGTACTTAAAAGTACTTAACACTCAAAACTTGGTGGAGGACCCTAGGACTTAAAAGTCCTTAACACTCAAACTTGGTGGAGGACCCTAGTACTTAAAAGTACTTAACACTCAAACTTGGTGGAGGACCCTAGGACTTATGAGTCCTTAACACTCACAAACCGGTGGAGTATCCAAGGATTATGATCCTAAAACTCATAGATTGTGATATACAAGTAGGGACAAGGAGGAGTCCTATACACTCATAGGTATATGGGTGGGTTGGGGTTTTTAGTCAAGAATATTGACTATTACTATTTTCCCGAATAAAATGGTGATCTACGGATCGGATATTTTCCAAGTATATATATACTAATAAGTATTTCATAACTTGGGGGAAAGATTATTTATTTAAGTATCACCCTATGTTTGGGTCTTATACTTGAAACGCTAGTTATTCTATATTTAGCCTGCTACTCGCTCGGTACTTGTACTGACCCCTTCGGGGGGCCCCACCACTTTCAGGTTGAAGCTAGAGCTTGCTACTTGCACCTTCTCACGGGTGATATCACATCAGGAAGACGTGGTTCGTGCTTCCTTATTTTCTTTCAAACTACCGAACACTTGCTCATGGATATTTGTTTACTATAAACACTTTTTGGGCTTGCATGCCCATGTTGTTGGCCGGTTGTGGCTCATGACTTACCGTTGAATATTTCCGCTATTCATTGGTTTAAATGTGATGTTGTTATGTATGTTTACTACTGAGTATGGATGAATTGTTTTCTCGAACGCCTTGTGTAATTAAGTGAGGTTGACTCGTGGGTGACGTCACTTAGTTATACGGCGGTTGTACACGCGCTTGGATTGCGGTCTGGGGCGTGACACACTGATTTCTGAGTGAGGAGCTTCAGCACTTGATCCTTCATCTTTATGTTCTTCACCATAGGATTTTCACGACATCCAAGTAATTCTTGCATCTCACTGTGGTCATCACCTTGGAGGATTATTCCTTCAGGTTGCTCTAAAATATCCAAAGCATCAAAGATAGGAATCTCTGGCAGGCAATCATCTTGAGTTTGACCCTTCAGAAAATGTTTCTCTCCTCTCCACGAGATTGGAGATGTATCAGATGTATCAATGATCAAAGGGGATCTGCCAAAGGAAGTACATGATTTCTGAAATTTCAGCCTTTGCACTCCAAGAGATTCCACACATAGTTGCTGAGATCCCACCTTTAATTCACATTTCACAAGAGACCCGTCTGTTGCTGCAAGTACTCCATCCCTTGCAGCTTTATTAATTAACAATCACCACCTTTTCATTCCCAGCACATATGGGAACTGTCAGCAGGAAAGTCTGTCCACAAAATCCTTGGTCCGACAAACTACTATCGCTGAGAATTTTTTTCTTTGGCTTTGAGAAGCTTTCGCATACAGCTCTAACTCGTCCAAGCTCATCAGTATTAGTGACAATTGACTTCCTGGATGTTGTCATCTGGCACTTGTTCAACCCCACCATAGACACAGAATCTCCACGACAAAGCGGTGGTTCAGCAAGGAGTTTGGCAGTATAAACAGATGGTGGCACATGAACTTGCAGCACCACAAGAGGGGGTTCAACCACACACTCAGCAACAGAGGCATTTGCTGATTTTGTCACAAAACCATCACAATCTCTTATTACCTCATCATCTATCTTGGTCTCAATCAATTTTTCTTTTGTAAGTACTTGTGAGGAACCATCAGATAGAACAATTTCATCAGCTAACAAGCTCTTTTTCTCTGAAACTAACTTATGACTGATTTGCATATCTGTAACACCATCTATTGACTTGTTTTTAAAATGTTGAGCTATTTCATTCATTGGAGTTTCACCAACACAATCAACACTTCTGTAGAACAAACCTTCGTTATCGGAATGGATGCCAGATAAAAGAAGCAAGCCTGGGGATAAAACTGGCTTAGCCATCCATAAGCCAGGACTGTCATTACTGTTGTACATCTTTGGTTTCCAAGGATCTCTCGGACTATCAGGTAGAGCTCCAGTAGGTTGCGATGTATCCTCTTCTGGCTTCGACTCCAGGACTGAAGGTGCAGCTGTTTTCAATTCTGTGTTCATTGTGGTTAGTTGAGTCCCCTGCAGTCCCTTTCCTGATGCGACTAAGTCGATGGTTTTGCAGGCGGGTGAATCTAACACAAGGTGAGAAAGGACAAACGAGGATGAGCTGTGAGATCGGGCGAGTGAGGAAACCTGCAAACTCAGAGACTTGGCTTGCGGCTTCGAACTGGAGAAGTTGCTAGCGACTACGACTGTTGGCCGCAAATCTGACGGATTAGGAGAAGTTGCTTGCAGAAACCCCTGAGAACTAGAAGCTACTGTTCGAGACGAAGGTGAAGCAGTCAGTGATGACGTTTGCGATTGCGAAGAGGAAATTTGAGTATGCGAACTGTTAGAAATTGTCAATTGCGATCTGGGAGCTTCTTCATGCGACACAGTCTGCGCACTTGGGGACGAAGATGATACCTGATAGTAAGTTGGCCGACGGTGTCTAGGAGGGCTTCTAGCTCGGTCTCTATGTCGCTTGAGTCTGTGTCGAATTTTGCCAAACATATGGCGCATCTCCTTAGCCCAATCACTTTCAACCTTTTCCGCCAGCTTCTCTCCTTTTCTGAGCGACGCATCCTGATAGGATCTTCCATGCTCTCTGCGCAGTTCCTTTCCGCCATGAGTAGACACACACTCCTCAGTGTTTGCGCGCAAACCAGAGGCGATCGCTTTCCGTTCTGACCTTCGATAGTCCTCGCGCCGCTCCATTTCTTTTACCGCGTGACTTAGATCGAAGCTTCCCGGGACAACTGCTCTGATACCAATGATAGGTACAGGGAAGAATCTGGCGATGAATTGGTTATTTACTAAACTGAAATTGAAGAAACAAAAAGTGACGATACAGATGAGGGCAAATTCGAGAGTGCCTCGTCTCTCCCAAGTTCCAGTCCAATCCAAGTTCTGCCTAACCTCCCCCTCTCTCCTTCCCACTCTTATAGTACTTATATTCTAACGGGCCAGCCCATATTTTATAACCTGACCCAAAATTCTTATTTATACAATAACTACTTATTTAATATCAATCTATTACTACTTTATAATTCTCTACAGCCCAGGGCCCTATCACTTAGACAAGATCGGATCAAATATCAATCATAATAATTATTATTATTATTATTACTATTATTATTATTATTATTATTATTATTATTATTATTATTATTATTATTATTATTATTATTATTATTATTATTATTATTACTATTATTATTATTATTATTATTATTATTATTATTATTATTATTATTATTATTATTATTATTATTATTATTATTATTATTATTATTATTATTATTATTATTATTATTATTATTATTATTATTATTATTATTATTATACATAAAATAGACATCTTCCAGACCAAGTTAGAAATGAACATGTCAATCTAATTGAAAATATCCTTATTAATGACATTTTCAATGTGACGAAATAAATGAGTAAATTGTAAAAATGATCCCTTTTTTACATTTCAATGTGACAAAATAATGAGTACAATGTAAGAGCTCACTAATAAATTTACAAATACTTATTTCATACCACATGTTGAATGAGAAATATTTAAAAATAGTTTTTTAGATGCTTAATGAAGTAATATAGAGGATGTGAAATTAATTAAGAAACTTTTGTATGAATTCTTTAAAATCGGGTTCATAACCATTATGTTTAGTTGAGATGCTTATGTAGAAGTCCAATTTAAATATTTTTCATATAAATTTGAATTACTTTTATTAATTATATATGATTTCGAAAATATCAAATATACAGTTAGCTAAATTATGTACTACCCGTGCATCGCACGGGCTTGAAAGCTAGTGAAAGATATGAGTAAGAATAAATCATTCATACGAAAATACTCCGTATGGAGTAACATAATACGGATTAGTAAATGTTCACACGCAATTATGAATACGAATTTTAACTACATAGCAACATTGTAATCTAAAAACTACTCCCTCCGTCCCTTCTAACTTTGTCAATCTTCCTTTTTTGAACGCCCCATTAATTTTGCCACTTTCCCATATAAATAAAGAATTTGTGGTTCTAGTTAATTCTCTCTTCTCTCCACAAATCTCAATCACACAATTTTTACTTTATTAATCCTCGTGCCGGTCAAACTTGACAAAGTTATTAGGGATGGAGGGAGTAATTCTAAGAATAAAGAAGTACAATACATCAGTACCCTCTAAGTAATACTCCTCCATCCCATTTTATCTGTCATACTTTCCTTTTTGGATTATCCTAAATAAGTGTCTCATTTCCTTTTTTGGAAAGAAATATGTGACCTACAAAATTTCACTTTATTATACTCAAATATCAACCACAACTTTTACTTTTTTAACCACTTTATTAATAATCGTGTCAAGTCAAAGTGAGACACATAAAATGACACTGAATTTGAAGTGATACTCCAATGACATCGTTGGTCGACTAAACAGAGCAGGTGAATAATGTCCTATAATTCTACTCCTTAGAGTTTCGTTGCGGTCAGTTTCCTTACATATAAAATGAAAATGGTGAATCGTTTTCAGATGTCTAAAAATGCAGCTATATATAGACAAAGATCAATTCGAATATGGACTCTGTTGATATGAAAACAATGTATAAACTCTGTCAATACCGTTTTTCTTTGCATTCCAACATCGTCAATAAAATACACTCTTCATATTTTTTTACATATTGATATGCACCATTCTGTAGTGCATAAGTTTGCCATTTGTAATTGTTAGTTTAATTTGTTGTTTTTACTTGTTTACTTGAGTTTGTGATGTACTCTTTAGATTCATTTTATAGAATGTAATTTATATTTTTTTTGTGTATTTTGTTGGAAGTACCAAAAGAGATGTAAAAGAGTATTATAGGTACCAAAGAAAGGCAAGAAAAAGCATAAATTTATGTGATGGTACATAACCCGGTCGGGTTGGAGCATAACCTAGTCAGATTGGAATTGACTATGAAGCAATCAAGAAACTACGTGTCAAACCCGATCGGGTTGAGTTGACATGGACAATGGAACATGACGAAGATCAATACAACATGGGAAATATCCGATTTAATACGTATTCCGGTCGGGTTTATGTTGACATCGAACAAAAAGACGTGCCGAAGATCAAAAGAACATGGAAATCTAATGTTGCACTCAACCCAGTCGGGTTGGTACCCAACCCGCTCGGGTTTGTACTCAATCTGGTCGGGTTTGTACTCAATCCGGTCGGGTTGGATGTGATTTCAGCACCTTCCGACTGCTTAAGGTACCTGATCGGGTACCAGACTTTGCCACCTTCAAATGCCTATAAATACACCATTTTTCTTTTTTATTTGGATATTCCTTCTTCCATAAACTTAAGCTCAGTTTAGAATAAAGTTTTCTTTATATTCTCTAGCATGCTTAGTCTCCAAATTAATGAGGAGCTAAACTCTTCTCATCTTGGTTTTGCTACATTGAAGCTTGTGTTTTGTAAGGTGTAAGTTATTTTCTAAAATCATATTCCTTGAATATTAATTACCTTCATATTTAGATCTCATATTAATATTTGAGCATTACCTAAAGGATCAACTAATTTTGTTTTCATATACTACATATTAATTATTACTAGAATTGATCGACATATGCGCTTGTTATTCGCTCGGCCCTTTCAACGAAAATAACCTTAATTAGATTATTAATTAATGCATGCGTCTCATGATTAATGATCTAAGAGAGATTAATTATATTGATTGAACCAATAAACCGCTTGTGTTGATGTTATCAATCTCAGTTGATTTCATCTAAAGTTTAAATACTGTTATCAGGCCAATATAAGGCGTGCATTCTATATTGGCTAGATAGTTACTAATAACTACCCTCGATGAATTGGAAATACTCCACGACTGAGTATTCGAGAGGGAGATAGTTAAAGATATAATCAGGCTTGACAAACATTTCACTAAGTGGATATAAGCAAAACCAAATCTGCATCTCTATTAATTTAAAACACAAGTCGTTCATCTTTAGTGTTTAAATACCCTTAAGTTCAAAACAATCTTAAAAGCCCCCTTGTTACAATTTCATAAAAGAAAGATATTTCTTTCTCTGTGGATACGATCCTTACTATTCTATACTTTGGTATTAGTACAAGTATTGAATTAATACTTTGAAGCACACAACGACTTCAGTGCCGTCACATATCTGTTTAGTAAAACATTAATTAAATTATTTTAAGTAATGTTTCGTTTTCATTTTAATTTTTTCCTAGAATAATTATGAATTAAAAAATATACATCTCAATGTTAAAAAAAAACATTTCTTATGATAAAAAAATGAGTTTCGTGTTTTCGTAGGCTCCACGAATTTAAAATATGAGTTTCGTGTTTTTGGACCGAAATAAATCCAACAATTAAAACTTCATATATTTTTCACACATTATATATGTAATACGTAGTACTAGAGCTCGTTCGGTAATACCTAAATCGGCTGTATTGGCTGATTCTGCTGAAATTTATGAAGTTCTGACTGATGTGGCTGAATTCGTTGATTCTGTTGATTTATGGAAAAAAATTAAATAAAGAAAATATTATATGAAAAATTAATTAAAATAATTCTCTTTAGTAACTTCAGCCAATACAGCCACAGAAGTAACTCCAATATTACTTTATTTGTCTTATTATTAAATAGCCCAACGCGTAAAATCAAAACTTACGTATTTGGTGAAAAAGTTGACTGATAAACCTCATAAGTTGAAAACAAAGTTACCAAACGGGCTCTTAGTGTAATATGAAAGATAATAAATATTTATGAATTTTTATATATGATTTGAAATCAGCAAGGATGGCATCAGCATGTCGTCATCGGTAGCACCACATGCGTCCTAGGCTCTCTATCGTCCCTTCTTTTCTTTTCCTTTTTGTTTTTCTTCCCTCCTATCAACGCTCCCTCTATATTGAACTCCCTCCAACTCCTTCCCACTTTTCACCCCTATTTAATCTACGACTACACACAATCAGGAATCCAAAACATCCAAATCTAGCAATTTAAACTCCTAATATCATAACATTACAATTGACCTTAGAGGTAATTTGTCTAGATGGTGTAGGGGATTCTTTTGAAATCATTCTATCGCCGGAATACAAACACTAGTTTCACTAAGCTAATTTATTTCAGATTCAACTCCCTTAAATTCTTTAACGAAGAACGTTGTTTTTCAAAATAGTTGATGAAAAATTTGATCTATTGACGGATTGAGTTGTAGTTAGGATGTTTTTACTTGGACTGTAATTTGCTGGTCTGGTCTGATAGTGTCTGGTCTCTTTGTATTTTTATAACTATCCAAGTCTGGTTCAGTCTGATCTGGTCTAGTCTAATCTGGGACGGATTACAGTCCAAGTGAAAACATCCTTAGTCTTAGGCTATGTTTGGCATGCCTTTTCAACTCATAATGGGCTAGATTTTTTTGAAGTCCAGCCAAAAAATGGAGAATTATCACTGTTTGGATGATAGACTACATGGAGCTAAAATTGAAAAAAGTGTGTTGAACAAAAACGTTACTCCAGCCAACGTTTGTATTTAGCTAAGAGACCAGACACTATCAGACCAGACCAGCAAATTACAGTCGAAGTAAAAACATCCTAACTACAACTCAATCCGTCAATAGATCAGTCCAAGTATTTAGCTATTTAGCTAATTTTATATACCCCAAACCTGCCTAAAATATCCTTGCTTCTATCTCTTTCCCATTCTCTCGCTTCAAAATTCATTTGAAAATTCAATTGAAAATTCAGGATACCATATACATTGAGGTAGAAAGTTACAGGTGCAATTGGACATTTATGGTGGCGGAGGTGGATGTCAATTCTCCGGTAGCAGGGAGACAGCTCCTGGAGCCAGTAAATTCGTGTGACGGCAGAGCTCTGTGGTTGAATTTGTTTCACCGATTAACTAAGAGGTGTAATTCCTAGGCGTTATTGTAGTTTAGACTATTTGTAGTGGTTATTGGTTAAGGATTAGAAGTCAAAAGATTAAAAATGGAACTTTTAGACTCTTAATTAAATGTAGTGAAAGATTAAAAGAGGGAGCAAAAATGGAAAAGGAAGTGAAGAAGTGTATAAG